GTCCTGATCCTGATCCTAATCCAAGAGTTGACCTTGCTTATGATTCTGATAAGTATGTGATGTCTTTCCAATTGGTTAGAAAATTTGATATGGAGAAATTCTTGAGGATCTTATGATTGGATTCCCAGAAAATGATCATGTTGCGGAGCTGGTCCAAAACATATGTAGTAATTTTTTTTACTTCCTTTAAATGTTATAGAATTTATTTCCTTAAAATAATCTAGAGAGTGGCATAATGCCTCTACCATTTCCCAGGAAGGGCAAGATTCATGTGTTTGAGATTTCAGATACCTAAACCACCACAGTACCTAAGTGTGCACACTTGATTCTAGGCCATAGGATTGATCTTCCTATACCTCTTGTCTCCAGAGCACAAGAAGGCTTTCATGATATTATTTTGGGAGTTGACTGTCGTGCTTAACATTAAGAAGAGGGACATGTAGTAAATGGGGAGATTGGAGAGAGTGGCCTTTATGAGAGTGATACGACTTCCATGGGACAAGAAATGACCCTACCCCATGTTTAGTCTTATGTGGAAGTTGTCAATGACCAGATTCAAGGGAGCCCTACTGGCTTTGCCTTCACAAAGGGGTAGGCTTAGGTATATTGGCTGGAGAGATTCAGGAGCACAACCTAGTTTGGAAACAAGAGAAGAAAGGGTATCAGGAGGAACATGTATGCCCATAAGCTTGGATTTTGCCATATTGATAGGCATCCCCGTGTCTACTTCAAAACACTCAAGGAACAACCAAAGCGTGTTTGCTTCTTCAGGAAAGGCTTTCAAAAAAACCAGGGTGTCATCTGCTTATTGTAGGTGGGAAATGGCATTACTTGTCCTTGATGTTTCGAAACCAGACATGCTCTATTGTAGAGCCTAGAAATGGTTCTACTGAAAACCTCAATTACAAATGTGAAGAGAATGGCGGCAATGGGATCAGCTTGGCGAAGCCTTTTGAATGAGAGGAAATATCCTTTGGGGAACCATTAATTAGGGCCGAGAAGGAAGCGGAGGAAACATGTCATCATCATCATCATCAAAGCCTTTTCCCAACTATTTGGGGTTTGCTATATGATTGTGGTCCTCCAGTTGCTCTATCAAGGGCCACACCCTCAGTGAGAACATACGCCCCTATATCTTTTCTTACTACTTCCAACCATGCCCTTTTAGACCTACCCCTTGCCCTTTTGAGCCTTCCACTTGAACCAACTTGTACCTCCTAACAGTTGTTGTACTGGGTTTGTACTGCACATGGCTAACGCGCCTCAGTTTACTTTATCTCATCTTATGGCCTATTGGAGCCACACTCAAGTTCTTCTGAATGTATTCATTTCGAATTCTATCCCTTGTTTTCTTGCCACTCATCCATCTCAATATTCTTATCTCAAGGTAATGTTGTTTCTTGACCGCCCAACATTCTGCCCCATAAAGCAAAACTGGTCTCACAACTGTTCTATAGAACTTCCCCTTCAGCTTCATTGGTATGAGGTGAGCACATAAAACTCAGGTTGCACATAAAACTCAGGTTGCACATATCTGCTTTGCCAACCCAGGTCTAATTCTATGCATATCTTCCTCTATCTCTCCATTTTCCTTAATTATCCACCTAAGATATCGAAAATGAAGTTTAGGAAACATGTCCGTGCATCCAACTCCTCCATCTGGGATCAAAACCCATGAGATCCATTATCTGGTCAAGGATGGACCATTTGACATGGTCGCAGGCCTTCTCCCTATCGAGTTTCAGAATCAAGCTAAATTACGAATTCTTATTGAGATCCGTCACCATTTTATTACAAGATGCAACTGATCCATTGTGGTCTTGAGATCTATATGTTGTGTATCAACATCTTGGTTAGTGAATTGGTATTTTTGTTAGCCATTAAAAAAAGCGGCATTTCTGTTATCTTATATCAATCATACTAAACAATGCTGCTTTTGAGGTATATTTCATTAGTTATCTCTTTTAATTTGTGTGTCTGTTTATATTATCCATGGAGAATGAGTTTGTAGATTTGGGAATGCAATCTATTTCCTTCATTTGAAATACATGTCTGATAGGTATAATGAGAGCTCAGTGTGATTTTCATTGTAGGGATTAGGGAATGGAGCTCATTTCATGAAATGCCTCTTAAAATTTTATGCATTAGTATTTTGAAAATTTTAATATTAGATTGTAATAGTCTTAGTACTTTGAAATATTATCTTGTACAACTTTTATAATAAATCATGTGTAATTTTGAATAATTTTTTGTAGTATGGCATGTCATTGACAATGTGTAATTTCTATATTATTCTAACACTTGGAATGGAAATATGGAATACCTACCTATATTCTTAAATGTGTGTTTACTTGTTCTAATGTTTAATATTCAGGTATTTGGGTGTTTGTGGCATATGTATAATCATATGTTTGTACTAAAGTATACTTTGTGGATGCCAACCCCAAAGAGACATTTTTATGTGAACCACATGGATACATTTCATGCCTTGGTTTTATTCATGAAAATGGTTCATTGTTACTGTGAAAAGGGCCAAATGGTAAATGGAATCAATCCTGAGAGTGCTTTTTGGAGAATTCTAGCTTTGGCATTCAAGCAAATAGGCCTTGAATCATTCAAGTATAGCTACTTTTCTGATTGTTGGGCATCCTGATTAACATATTTTGATAGTTAATTATCAGTCATTGCTGAAGCAAAGTATGCATCTTGTAGAGGGAGTACAAACAAACTGGGATGTGTGCATAGATGGGGCAGAAGAGAGAAAACAAACGCCATAAATTTGCAAAATTGGTAGAAGCCAGAATCATTTAGCTATCATGAAACACCTGATTATGTCATCATTTTTTGTTCTTTCCTATGCCATTAGGCTGCTTCACTCTTGGCTTCTCAGGGAATGTTCCTGAAAGATATATTTCGCGAGTTAGCCGTAAACTTAAGTCTCATCGAACCCTCTTCCAGAATTATTGCAACTGTGTATCCTCCAGATAGCTCGCTTCTACTGAGCACTGCCAAGTTCTCTGTCTCTGTATAATCACAGAACCAACTAATCCCAGGATGGGAAATATGTCATTAACAGCTAAGTTATTAACAATCTGATATTTACCCATATATTTTGATTTTATTTCAAAATTCCTATCAAAATACACATGATTTTTTAATTGTGGAATAGTAGAAAAAGTGTAAAGTGTTAAATAATTGAAAAATGAGGTGTATTTTGATAAATTTCCATTTAGAGGGGCTGCACTCATAAGAACTGAATAAACAATCCTAAGTAAACAAAGATGGGAAATACAGGTCATTGTAGTTTCTATATGGCTGTTGATGGAGATGCCACTAACCTGAGGTCCTTAACTGTTATATGGATTATTGTCTGATAAGGGTTTCTTGGGAGATATCATTGAAGGTCTTAATTTATCGTGCAACATCATTTAAGGGCTCATAAGATCCCTTTATAACTGCAGAATTTTCCTCATGTTAAAAGGTTTTGAAACTTCCTAATTTATCTATTCAAGGTTGGGAACCTAAACAATCAAGGAGATTTTGGTAATTGGCCTACCTAACTCACTGGAGCCAAATTACGAAATACCCTTGTTAGTAAGGGTTGGGACCGCAAAACTGCCATATTATCCAAATACACATGATTGTTTAGGGTTAGAAATCTGAACCAGGGGTATTTTTGTAATGTGGTAGTTTTGTGGTCCCCATGCCTGATTACCGGGGGTATTTTTCACCATATGAATATTAGGTGTGTTTGAATAATTTGGCACTTTCGTGATCCCAGCACCCGACTACTGGGGGTATTTTTTGTAATTTGGCTTGTGATACTTTAAGAGCCAAATTATCAAAATGCTCTTGATGGGGGTTCCCAGCCTTAAACATGGGTAATTTGTGAACTTTTGACCAAATTTTTTGAGGATGCACATTTATGAAATGAAATTTAAAAAGTAAATCCCGTAGTGATAAATGGGACATTTTTCTTTGTCATGCAAAATCTTCTATAATAAAGATTGCCATCTTTGCCTAATAAACGTTTGCATTGGCATGCTTAGTTTTGGACAAATTTGTGCTTTTATACTATGATAATGGTGTAGTATGGTAATGGGTTTTTGATTGTTGAGTCAGTCGACACCATTCAATTTCATGGTTATTATCTAAAAAAATATTACCTCATAATGCAATGCAGCCTAGGTCATTAACGTCCACGTTATATTTTAAATCTGTTAGAAGCCATCTGGATTCTGGAATGTTCCTCCTTATTTTGTTGGCTGGTGAAGTTAACTGAATATGAATATTTAAGACTTAAAATACTATTTTGGAAAAGAATCGGTTATTTGCTGGTTCTCGAGCTACTAGGGGTGTGCACTTTTTTTTCCTCCACATATTCTGGAAGAAGACCTACATTATATCTTTAGAGGCATTGTTTCGAAAAGCGGACCGCCCAGCTCCTGGGCAGCCGCCTAGGCGGATTTCCTTGGGCGCCCTCCTAGGGCTTGGGCCCCACCCAGGGGCGGAACTGTGGCTACTTTAGGGTATTTTTTGGTTATTTTTTTAATACTAAAGAGGCAAAATTTTGGGTTTTAGGTTCATTTGAAACTTAAAACCCATTAGAGGCTATTTTAGAGAGAGAAACCCCCAAAAAAAAATATTTCTACCGGGCCACCCAGGTTTTGGGTGCCCGCTGACCGCCTAGGACGCCTAGCGCTTTTTGAAACACTGTTTAGAGGTCCCATTCTTCTCTTTTGTTTCCAGAAGATATGAGTGTTTGTAACATATTGATCAGAGATCAATTTTATCATTTACTTCTTGATTCTTGTTTGTTTCACATTGTATTTGTATAAAATTGGTGTTGTGGTCAAGGCAAGTTCTGTTTTCTGAGTATTTTCAGGATGTAATTTGAAAGAAGAACTAAAAATTAACTATCAGTTATGTTTTGGATTCTTACGGTATTTGAAAGTGTTATATTTTCTGGGGCATGACCTATTTTTTGTGTATTATTTTAGGCTGCGCTCTGAGATCACTCTACCAATCATAAAAGAGCTGGTCCCTCACTATCTCCAAGATAGTGTCAAGGTATAGATTTGAGTTGATACTGGATCATGATTGACATCTATGCATACTTTCCGCATGGATCATTCAGTACAAGTTGCATTAAGTCATTAATCATGCTCATGTTGTCATTTTCGGTTAAATACTACTTGCGCTATTTTTGACTTTGTGGTTATCATGTAGGAGAGGCTTGATTATTTGGAAGATGCCAAACATGTCTTTAGATTACGATTGAGGCTGTGCTCTTCTTTATATCCAGTGAATGAGCGTATTAGAGATTTTTTCCTGGAGTATGATAGGCATATTCTCCGGACAAGCCCGCCATGGGGTTCTGAACTTCTTGAGGTATTGCTGTGGGCGTATTTTGTTTACATGTACACACTTATTCTGGATGCTTGCTGTTTTTTTTTTTGATTGGTATGTTTTCTCTGCGGTGTATTCTTATATGATTTTGTCTCGGCGTATTCCTCAAATAGAAGTTGTGGTGGGCTTGTTGCTTAAATTAGTGAATGGTTTGCTTCCATATGGATCAATATTGTTAAACCATTTTCACATTGCTATTTATGCAGGCCATAAACAGCCTAAAGAATGTTGATTCCACTGCACTGTTGCAGTTTTTGCAGCCAATTCTGAATATGCTTCTCCACCTCATTGGTGATGGTGGCGAAACTCTTCAGGTTTTCCAATAATGGAGTCCTACTTTTTTGTTTTTTTTTTTCTTTTTTCTGGATCTGTTTTTTTGTCTTTTATGTTGCCCTTGCCCTATAGTCCTATTTGTTATATAACCCTCTCTTTTTTTAAATATTCGTTGTTCTATCAGTACCTGATTTTGTTGTTCTTTTTACATTTCGTAGATTATCTCTTGATGTTTATTAGAGATAATTCTACCTTTTATTGTTTTTATTCCATCTAGCCAACCCCAATTAGTCGGGAAAAGGCTCTGATGATGATGATTGTTCTAATTCCATTTATAATACTTTTCAGGTTGCTGCTTTTCGAGCTATGGTCAATATTTTAACCAGGTGTGCTTTTGATTTGTCCCTACTTTCTATACTCCTATTTGCTTTTCCTTAAATGAAATTACATTTTTTTTTTTTTTGAGAAAGTTAAACTAAAATGAAATTACATTTAAGACAAGGTTTATTCAAATCACAGTTCTTATCAGTCAATATGAATGCAGTAGTGGGACAGCTGATGCATATATACCTTGTCATTTTTATATTGAGAAAGTTTATATGAATATGTTTCTTCATGCTTTTGTTTGCATCAAATTTGTCGAGGCCTGCATGGAATTGGTCAAATTTCAATTAAAGCACATGCTGGAGCTCCGTTGAAGCACATTAGAACTGGCACTCGAGACATCATCTTTTATTTTATTTTATTTTTTCCCATATCAACACACGCTCTAGGTCTCCCTATCTACATGCTTCATCATTCTCTTTGATACCCCGAGTGTTAATAGTTTCCGAAACTTTCCTTATATATTAGAGATAATCTAACTCAGGGTCTCTGCTGTTCAGGGTGCAGCAGGAATCATCTGATGGGGCTGAAAGAAATCGTTTCCTTGTTAATTATGTTGACTATGCTTTTGATGATTTTGGTGGTCGACAACCCCCAGTTTATCCAGGTCTGTCAACAGTGTGGGGAAGCTTGGCTCGGAGTAAGGTTAGGTTCGCGAAATAAAGTTCTTCCTACTTTTGTGCATGTTAATCTCCTTTAGTTTTCTTGGTTTGCTTGTTGACTTTAAATGTATGCTGGCCCTCTGTTACTATCATGATGTCCTCTGTATGACGCTCATAAATCAGTTGTATACGCATTCAGATGGAACACATGGTTTTTTTTGTTTAATTATTATTCTACACATTCATCATTTAGTTTCGTTATTGTTATTTGATAACTTGAGTTTCTTTATTTTTATTTCAATAATGTGAGGTTGTTATTCATTAATTTTATTGAAGAGTTGTTAACTTAACCCTGGATGTTCTGGCACATAAGATGTAATATTTATTTTGACATGAATTAGCATACTTAATGTGAACCATGAGATATCAAGTTCTTTTTATTTTGTAGAAAATATGTTTATTAGAAATTTGCTAGAGATTTTAGCTTTTTGTTTTTCTTCAGTTGGATAAGCTGGATGAAGACAAATCCCAGATAGGGGCATGTGACAAGGCTTAGCTCTTTGATCCTTGGCGTTGTCTTACTTAGCATGTAACTGAACAATACATCTTGAGTTAATTTCTCTTCTATGGAAAGTTACCCAAAGAGTCTCTATTCATCATCATCCAAGCCTTATCCCAACTATTTGGGGTCGGCTATATGAATCTTGTTCCGCCATTCTACTCTATCAAGGACCATATTCTCAGTCAGACCATAAGTCACAAACCCAAAGAGTCACCACTACCAAAACAAAAGGTCTCTTCTATGAAAAAGTACCCAAGTGTATTATTATCTGGTAACAATGATACTTTGCCAATGGGCTATGGAACTAGAACAAACGATGGTATGCAATGGGGTTCTTGATGGTTACTAAGGAAAAAGGTTTTCAGTTTGCATTGCTGTCCCTCTATTTGTGTTGAAAACCAAAAAAAGAAAAGCTAACTCTTATCGAATAAAGGTTTGGGTTTCTTGAGTCACGGCATTGTCTCGTTTGGACTTCAGTTGGTTTCATGAGTCATAATTCATAAAACATACCATTGTGTCATGCAAACTATCACTTTTAACTGAAATCGAATGGACTTGAGAGGTTTTGATGGAGGGAAAATTTGTTCTTATTCTTTATTTTTATTTAACTTTAAAGGATGTATATTATCATTTGCTTTTAGGGCTTATTTCTAGGGTTTTTAGTTTTTTAGGAATTCTAGGGTTTTTATAGTTTTTTGTTTATTTTATGGGAACTATTCACAAGTACTATTCATGAGTACTATTCATAGGGTAAATTTGTCATTACAAAATTTATATTTAAAGTAGGATATAAAGGTCATTTTAATCATTGTATGAACATGTAATGTCTTTAAGCATTGAATTATAATATATAAGAAATGTGTGGGCCTTGAGAGGGGAATTCCACATATTTTTAGAAATTGAAAGAGAGAAAAGCTTAGGCTTTTGGAACTCTAGCTTGGGGTATGGAGAAAAAACCTAGGTTTCTTCGACTTTTGCTTGTGTTTTGGCTTGTTTCTTGCTAATTTTATTGTTCCCTCAATTTTCCCTACATTAGGTTTCAAACATTGAACATTTATGGCTGTTTTATTGGGGATTGTTTTTTGAGATGTCTCTTCATTCTAGGTGATCAGGGCATTTGAGTTTCCGTGATTGGATTATTGCTTCTTATCAATGAACGAAAATTCGGCTGCCTAGGCGGCATTTAAAAAAAACGCCTAGTCGTTTACTAGGCGACCTGTTCTAGGCGGTGTAAAAGGCGGACGCCTAGGCGCTGCCTCGACCCTTGGTGGAAAGAAACTTGGGAAAGGACACAAATTGTAATTTTACACCCTTAAAAGAGGGAAAAGGGTTTGGGGGACCATTCTTGCCTTGAAAAACATTTTTAGTGAAGTACTTTAGAGTGAGAAACAATTTGGAAAAAACTAGATTTGAAGATTTGTTTAGCGATTGAAATTTTTATCGACCTCCTCGAATGGTGACGATATTCAAAGATATTCATCCCCAATTTTTTTGAGGCTTATAGTGCTTGTAAAAGAGGAGATTTAGGAACCCAAACATTTCGGTTTGGCCCGATTCGCCGATATCGAATCCACTTCAAGAAGGTTGGTATATTTCTATAGTTTTTATTAGGTTATGTATTTTTTTTTCCCACAATATCTAATGATGTTATTCTTTACCTTTTTTTTTTTTGGTGATACTTTGTGATATATATTTAATATGTTATTGTTTATTTGGATTATTATTTTCCCATTTTGATATGTAGTTTGGGTCTTTGGGAAAACAATTCAATAAAAAGTCGATTGCCCCCAAACCAAATGAATATTGTTTTTTTCCCGGTTTTTTTTATTTTAAATTTTATACATGAATTTACTTGTATGATATATATTATATACACCTTAACAATATATTATATACATCTTCACAATATATTATATACAAATCTTACTTGTTAAATAAAAAAAAGCAATCATATATACAATAAAATGGGGGGAGACGTGGGGGATCCAATTTTTTTAAAAAAGACATTACTGGCCGCCTTTGACCTAGGCGTTTGCCTTAGTGTCTACGCCTTTTTGAACATTGCTTCTTATTTTATCTTTTGTCCTTATAAAAGCAACGTTTTAATTGGAGGCCAAGTTTAGTGTCACGTGATTGTTGCAATGCCTATTCGCACTTGTATGATAGGTAGTACTCTGCTTACAATTGGTTTTGTCTTTGACAAAAGCTTTTGTTGGTTCTGATTACATTTTATTATGTGTGCTTCATTTGATAATTGTTATTTTTCATCTTTTGAAGTGGTTGCAATATTAGAGCCTTTTTTTTTTTTTTTGTTTTTCTTCTTCTTCTTATCCCATACACTTGTATGTTACTTATTTCGTTTATTTCTGCCAACCAACTTTTGTAGGCTAAAGGTTATCGTGTTGGACCAGTATATGATGATGTGTTGGCAATGGCTTGGTTCTTCCTTGAGCTTGTTGTAAAATCTATGGCACTGGAGCAAGCTCGCATATTCTATCATAGTATTCCCTCAGGTATATTACTAGTATGTCCAAATTAATATTATGGATCTTATTTTACTCATAGATGCTATTAATAACTACTGGGAGACAGTAACTAACTTTGCTGTGCGTAAGTACGCTTCGGCAGTGTAACACAGCTCTCCGGCACTGCGTAAGTGCGCTTCGGCAGTGGAGCATTCTGAGTCACAGGGCTTCGGCATTGTTTAAGTGCACTCCGGCGATGTGATACGCGCTCCAGCAATGTAACACAGTGCTCCGACACTGTGTAAGTGCGCTCCGGCAATGGAGCACAGGGCTCCGGCACTGTTTAAGTGCGCTCCGGCAGTGTGTTACGGGAAAGGCATTTTCGTCTAGAAAAATGAAGTTTTTCCCTTGAGGGGGTATTTGCGTAAAAAGTTTATTTTTTTGAAAAAGTTGAGAGCAAAAGTTAGCTGGGGGGTAAGTTGCATAAAAAAGTATATTTTGGGGTATTTTTTATAATTTTCCTAAATTGTTTCTATTTTTCTGTTATCCATTTGTGCCACCCTTACTACCTCTTTTCCCTCCAATAATATCTTTTGTGATCTCTCATTATTTGGGTCGTCATTTTTTGAACCGTAGAGAACCCAACTTTTGGGCCATCTCCCTCACAACTCTTGAGAAAATGTTTAAATACTTCTTTACATAGTACATTGTTGTCATTAAAAAAAAAAAAAGTTAACTAGATTATTTGATGCATTTTCCTGATTTCTTTTATGCAGAGAGACCATAATATTACAAGCATGTGTTGCTTAACATATTTTTTATTCATCAATGTCATCCACAGTATGAATCTATTCACTATTAATCCAAAAGGAACCAATTTGTATTTCATCTGGCATCTATTCACTATTAATCGAAAAGGAACCGATTTGTATTTCATCTGGCATGTTCTACTTCGTTGTGTGTAAAGTCTGTATTTATAATGAATCTTATAGGTGAAGAAATTCCACCATTACAATTGAAGGAAGGTGTATTCAGATGTATATTGCAATTGTATGATTGCCTTCTTACGGAGGTTCACGAACGCTGCAAGAAGGGATTGAGCTTGGCAAAACGTTTGAATAGCAGTCTGGCCTTCTTTTGTTATGATCTGTTGTCCATCATCGAGCCTCGCCAAGTTTTTGAGCTGGTATGCAGCATGCATGTTTTCCATAACATCATTGAGGATATTTCAGTTATCGGAATAAAAAAGAACTGATGCAATTTCATATATGTCATGCTGTCTATGTGATCTCTGTTGTCAGTCCTCATAGAACAGAAGATGCACAATTGTACTGCCTGTAAATTTTTTGTATAGGAATTTCTCAGAGCTTAGCTGACCCCAAATAGTTGGGAAAAGGCTTTGATGATGATGATGATGAGTTTCTCAGAGCTGAAGTGCAGGTGGCTCAAAAGTATCACAAGTCTAGTGACTATATGCCTCTTGCGAGTAATTGACATGGCCTGGGACCTATGTTGACGTGGAAGCCAATCTTTTCAGCAGATGCTGCTCATGAAATTCAAGACGTGTTTGGTTTACCTTTACACTAAATCTGCACAAGTGTAATGGGCAGCATCGATCCCAACTGTTTCGCTTCTTCATAATTATTGCCGATGCTTTGATTTGTTTACGTTTACTTGTTATTTATTTATGCATTCTGTCTATTGAGAATTAATTGATCCTTGAGCCACAAATTACAGTCTGGAAAATGTCAATAATGTAAAGGCAACTTGGGCACCATTTTGATATTCTTTCACCCACATTTATGGTAAATAACACTTGATACACTTGTTGCAGGTGTCACTATATATGGACAAGTTCACAGGTGTTTGCCAATCTGTTCTCCATGACTGCAAGCTCACATTTCTGCAGATAATATGTGATCATGATCTTTTTGTTGAAATGCCTGGTAGAGATCCTTCAGATAGGTGAGAAATTCGTTGGCCAGCTTCATTTCTTTTGAGCTTTATTAATACGAGGTTCACTCAGTTTATCACTTCCTAGCTTATAAGGAGTGTTTGTATTTTACATCTTTTTTAAGTAGATAAGCTTGCCTAACATCTTGTACTCTGCAGGAATTACCTTTCATCTGTTCTGATCCAGGAGCTTTTCCTCACCTGGGATCATGATGACTTATCTCAGCGTTCGAAAGTGAGCCTCTATTTCCTTGCTTTTCTAGTTTTAATATTTTGTGGTCTGTTGTATTGAATGATTGTGCTTATTCTGTCCCTTTCGTGAATTGTACTGAATGAGGATGTCGTGCCTTGTCTGAAGACAATTGCCCTCTTGTATTAGGTTTGAGCTAGGTTTTTTGCTGAACAATCTGTTTGCTCCTAATAGGCAGCTCGCATCTTGGTGGTCCTCCTGTGCAAGCATGAATTTGATGCTCGATACCAAAAGCAGGAAGACAAATTGTATATTGCCCAACTATATTTTCCACTTATTGGTCAGGTAAGACAGCAGAAACATTTTTGTTTGTTGAAATTTCTTAAGATCCTAATTTGTTTCATTGGGTATGACAAATCTTCCCTGAGAAGTATTGTCTTTGCTTTGATATTCGAAGATGCTCATAGCCTTCACTAAATATTTTTTGCCATGCTCGAATGTCATGCTGTTATGCCTCAATTTCTAGGCTGGTATGGAAGGTTAAATGATGCATCTAAACCATAGTTGTTGGAAACACTTGGGAACCTGAATCGCTTTAGGAACCGAAATCGCGGCTGGCTAGAAGATTCCTATCTTAGGAATTGCTGTTCGTACAATAGGAATCACTGGGAACGAGATTCCTAGTTTTGGAAAATCGTGTTTCAGCCGAAATAGATTCAAGTTTCATCCACATATGGAATCGAGATTCCGTCCTCCTTGAAATCGAGATTCCCATCCCCATGGAATCGACACTCCAAGAGTCAATGTTCATTAATATGTGGAATCAAGTTTCTGACATTAGTAGAATTGAGTTTATGACATTTGTGGAACATAGATATGTTGTTTCGAATTGTGATTCTTAACATATTTGGAATCAAGTTTCTGAAGTATATGGATTAGAGATGCATGTCAGTTTGAGATCAAGATTTACAATAATACTTTTAATTGTATGTGTTGTATTTACCAGTTATATTTTAAATTTAAAGTAAAGGCCATCCAGGGTGGCACAAGTAAAATATTGAAACCCTGCTACCACTAGAAGTATTCGAAAGAAGATTTCTACTCTAATTGATGTGGAATCAAGATTTAATCCTCGCTAGAATCCAGATACGATATATTTAGGAACATCTACCCACAATTAATGGGTTCAAGTTTCTAAAGATGTGTTGGATCGAGATTCTGAAATTAAAAAATCGAATTTCCTTGGTTCCAATAAATGGTCTCTAAAGATGTGTTGAATTGAGATTTTGAAATTAAGGAATTGAGTTTCCTTGGTTTCGAAAAAAGGCTTTTAATGATGTTTCGAATCGAGATTCTGAAATTAAGGAATCGAGTTTCCTTGGTTCCAAAAAACCGTTTTTGTGGAGATTCCTTAACGGAAACGCAGAATTGGGTTTTAGGGTTGGAAACGTGAGGTCGGTGGAGAGATTCCGGTAACTATGGGCTAAACTGTGGGGGTACAACAACTTAGTGAGAGAAACACACACAAAGAGAGAATGTAGAGAGAGAAAATGTGTGGGAGCCAAGCTTTATCAAAAGCTAAAAGCAAACTGCTGCATTTTTTAAAAAAGGGTTATATAATCTGAGTTCAAAATGGCACAACCTAACCCTTTAATGCATGTTGTTTCACATTTTTAATACATATAAAAATTAACCCATTCCCATTGCACAATCCACCAAGTTCCTAAGCATACTCCAAGTCCGAAACGCCTCATGTTGACTCTCTCTTTACCCCCTTCAAGACTTTGGAAACCCACTATTACACCATTCTAGGCTCATGGAAACTAGTAGTCCATACTGGATTTGTGGGTTCCATGTTGGGCCTTACATCTTCTTCCTTGGGTTCGAGAGAACTCGCCCTTGAGTTTGTATTCGAAACACCATAATACTCGGTGAGAACGAGCATATTTGTAGGGCAAGTCCATAATATTAGTAGCCTTAAACGTATTTGAGAATACTTGCCCATTGAAATGGGCTAAGGCGAGTCTTGCAGTACAACCACAACCTTTTTCAATTCTAACTCGGTGAGTTGCTGTCGGGATCTTCCTCTTAAGATGAAATAATAGCTCATCCTGCCTTCTAGCATTGAGAGCATTATCATACACTTTCTAGTGTACATTCTTTTCAACAAAGTCATCAATAAGAACCACCAATGAAAATGGCATCAGCTCCTTTGAGCATATCTCCCATAGATCACCAAATTCAAGAGATACATAGAGAACTAGGTAAGTAGGGAACAACTAAGTTCAATAGCATTTGGTTGGAGAATGAAATCCTTTTAGTTGATATACAATAGATTGCCACCACCATCATTGAGAGGAAGGAGTTTTTTACAGTCTCTCCAACTAACTGTCTCTTCACCTACATCTTTCCCTCCAGCATAAGTATTATTTTTCCCACCAATTCCTTTGGGGACAATGAAAACAGTTTTCTCCAGTATTTTGGATTCCATTCCTTCTCGTCCACCCCATTCTTTATCAAGAACGGGATTCACGGAAGCCTCCCCAATAGTCGGATCTTCTTTTTGATCCTCTTCAATGATTGGAACATTGTTAAGGACATTGTCAGCCACTTCTTTCTAAACATCCAAACTTCATCCAAGTACTTGTCAAAGATTGGCGGTAAGTTCTATTCCACAACAGGCTGATTTTGAGAACCATTTGATAAGAACAAAGTTTCTCCATGGTTGTTCTCGAGTAGAGTTCCATAATAACCCCCCAAATCGTCATGATGATGACATAGTGCACCAAACGCTTGACTGTGATCATACCATAAATATGACCCGTCTATCACTATCTGGGTCACTGACTCATCGCTTGAGTATTCACGGCTGAGCTCATGTTCACTGCGAGCCTCTTGCCGCTCGAGTTGCAAGGTTAACTGCCAACTTGTCTAAGTGCCTCCAACTCCTTATTTCTTGCATTGTTCACTATGTAGTTACCACAACCACCTCTCCCCCTTCTTGCCGCCATGGATAAGGATGTGTAAATACAGACAATGCCCTGCTCAAGCCTGAACTCAAGCTCTGATACCAAATGATGCGGCTAAGCTGTGGGGGTACAACAACTTAGTGAGAGAAACACACACAAAGAGAGAATGTAGAGAGAGAAAATGGGTAGGAGCCAAGCTCTACCAAAAGCTACAAGCAAACTGCTGTATTTTTTAAAAGATAGTTACATAATCTTGAGTTCAAAATGGCACTGCATGTTGTTTCATATTTCCAATACATATTAAAAGCTAACCCGTTCCCATTGCACTATCCACCAAGTTCTTAAGCATACTCCAACTCCCAAATCTTGGAAACTTCTCATGTTGACTCTCTCTTTACCCTTTTCAAGATGTTGACTATTACACCATTATAGGCTCATGGAAACTAGCAGTCCATACTGGATTTGTGGGTCCCATATCATTAAACCTGCTTGTGCATCAATACGACCTTAATATAGATTACCTTGCTGCCTAAAATGCATAAATTGCATGCACAACATTTGGATAGGGAAAGAAGAGAAAGGCCCAGAAAGAGTGCTATCTCCACACTAAGAATAATATTTTATTTGCTCAAGGATGAACAGCTCATGTATCTAAGATAATGCTACTTTAACACTTCTTGGTACATCAGAGAACTGGACGAAAATGTCGTTTGCAAGATAGGGCAATGATGGGAACAAGCTGGTGTTAGTTGTATGGCATGAGGTTATTTCAACATGTTTTTTACAGCCCATACTGATGTTGTTTATGCAGTAATATATCCGATTTCCAAAGGCATGTTCATTTGTAACTCATAATATCCTGTATTATTCAAATGCAGAGCTGTGAACATTGTAAGAAGCTTGTAAAACACGTTGTAACAAGCTTGTGAAACACGTTTTGAGGAGCAGTATTGTCCCAAACATGCATATATGCATGTATGTGCCCATGAAACGAACACACACACACATGAACATGTATGCATGTATGTATTATTTGTATACTTAAATATATACATATATGTGCACTCCAAATGCACATGTATGTGTGTTTATATATTATTATAATTTATATGTATCATTTATGCTCAGTCTTTCTTTGTTGATATGTATTGGATGGATATTAAGCTCCAAGTGACCCAAAAACTACTCTTATAACAAGGGACAAACTAGGAGGCTGCCTAGGGACAGACAGCCAAAGATGGTCTCCTAGGTGGGAGGAAGGCCACCTAGGCGGAAGGTGGGCCATCTTTTACATCTATGCATTGTAAAATACCCTTTCCATATAATAAGAGAGCATTCTTGAGCATATTTGTCGCCCATGTTCATTTCATGTTGTAGCAAATAGGAAAAAGGCATGGGTGCATTCCGGAGAGGGGGGCAATTGGACAAGAAGATACATAGCAAACATGATATGGGTTTCCTGAAAGTTCGTGAGTGAAATAGCTGTTTGCATCTTACATCCTTACTTATCAGATAGATCCCTAAGAAATGGTGGGGAACGTGATGTTTTGTTATCATCTTCGGTATTGTCTCCCTCCTTGACATATTCTTCTTCTTCCCTGGTCTCCTGCGAATGTGCCTTCTCCTCATCCTCTGCTGTCACTTTCTTTAGTCTCTTCCCTCTAGGTTTAGATCTTATGTATCTCATGGGGCTTAATTTGCTTCCAGTTGCCTTACAAGCTTGGCTCCAAGTCAAGTCCTCTCTATAGAATAATGGATCATCTTCAGCATCGACCAACCACTCGCATGTATCATCCATATATCTGACAGTAATAGCTATCTCAAAGGATCTAAAGTTGCACTTGCAACCGGACGAGCTGCTTGTCAAGCTCAATATGTGCTTTGCCATCCTTTTTAAATGACAAGCACTTTTCTTGTGATTGGTCCACCATGAACCTGCACCACAGTACCACATAACAATGAATAGAGTATAAAAATATATTATTATATTTTGAAGTCATATTAAATTTTATAGGGTAGACTTAGAACTAATTACTCCAACCATAAATCTACAATGAAGAAGCAAATTTTTAAATTTACCAGGAGAGAGTTTTTTCCTCGGCCTCATGGCTAATTCCGTACCAAGTGTCCCCATTGATAATTTATACTTGTCCAACTCCCTTGGACTTGGTCTTGTTCTTCTATACTAGGAAAGAGTGGCGTTTAAGAACTTTCTTGATTTCAGATATAAAACATCCTATAGTATCAATCCCATTAAAAAATAAAAAAAACCAATATTGATGATCTATACTTGTCCAACTCCCTTGGACTTGGACTTGGACTTGGTCTTGTTCTTCTATACTAGGAAAGAGTGGCATTTAAGAACTTTCTTGATTTCGGATATAAAACATTGTATAAAGTCAATCCCATTAAAAATACTAAAAAAAAATAAATCCTATAGTATCAATCTTGAGGATTATTGTAAAAATACCCTGCTAGGTGAAGGGGCCTCTCTAATTGTGATTTCCATTTGTCGTCAACATATCTTCAAAGTATGAGAATGATGCTTTTCATTATATATATGAAATTCTTCCTAGTTACCTCGTTGGCAACTTCCATTGCCTGGTAAATATGACCCGTAGCCCACTCCTCATCGTCCACAATGCACAAAATCTTAACTATAGGTTTGAAGGCCTGGTGGGCTTGGACAACCCCATTCCCAAACTTTGATTGCAAAACTATGTCAGTGATTGTCTTCCCACTTGTTGTCTTAGGCCCACTTGCTTTAAACTCGCTCTTGAGATAGAAACATAGCCTTGAGCTTCTGGGCTAAAACCGACTGCAAAGACAAATAATAGGTGCCAAATCTAGTCACCCTGAGCATCAGCCAAGTCGCTCGTATTTGTGGAGGTGCTCATCATGGCCAGCACATAGGTTGTATATGCTTATCATTATGGCTCTTGCTTTCTTAAGACATGATACAACTGCTTTCATCATGCTATCGCCTCAAGCATGAGCTCTATATAGTGAGCCACACATGGTGTCCAAAAGATATGTGTTTCCTCATCTCCAACATTCTAGAAGCTGCCATATTGGTTGCAGCCATGGCTATAACCACCTGAACTACATGACTCTCTCCCACCTCCTCAATGCATTATTCCACCAAATCAAGACTAAACACCTGCATCATGAATCTTGTTCAATGCATCAATAGACCACTGGAACATTGTCCCTGTTCCAATTCACCATCAAGTTCATAATACTCATTTGTGTCTTATCGGTCCATGTGTTGGCCATTGTGCTGACCCATATCTACTCTATGCATCCCTATGTTGTCTTGAAGTAAGCATGGTTAAGTCGCACCTCTTTGTTAAGTAGGTGCTCTTGATGGCTCGAAGGAGCGTTCCCGTTAACCTTTGAATGGCGCACGTGGCATCTTCACTCACACTTAGTAAAAAATGTCGATACAACAATATCAGGATTCTCTCTTGGCTAAGAGTGCCATTTGATTTCATTTTGAGTACCACACTTTTGACCACTGCCACTGATATGCTCCTTATATCTTGGCCCATATTGCCCCACTGCTTCCATCATGACATGGATGGTTTTCAGCTAGTTACATGGACTGCTAGTGGCATAGGGGCATAGGGGGGGCGGGAGTGGGGTGGATGGTTTTCAGCTAGGGGCATTGGGGGTGGGGGGGGGGGACTGCGATGCCCCCTTTTGCTAGTGGCTGGATGGTTTTCAGCTAGTGGCATAGGGGGGAGTGGAAGGGGGGGGGGGAGAGTGGGGTGGGGAGTAAGAATCCATAAGCCCTTTTGCTTGCGGCCCTCTATGTGCAATCTCCAATGGGCTAGTACTAGAGCCCCCTTCTTGAGCATATACTTATTTTCTTCTCTCTCTTCCCAAATATCAACCAATGTAGCGATTTTATCAATTTTTTTTTGTTTTTTTGGGTTGCCACTTCTTTTGGATCCCTTGCAAATAGCCCACCATCTTGTTACTAACTTCTGCAGGGACTTGAGTACATGGGGTTTCTTAGAAAATTTGCATTCAACACAATTCTTGCCATTTGGATTGGTCATGGCCCATATTTCCACCCTGGAACAAGTTATTTATTAAAACTACAAAACCGACATCTTCACCTACTCAAATCATGAACAACAAAATGAAAACTTAAAAACCCACTATTGCAGAATCTCAAAAAGACAACAAGAAGGAACTATTAATTTAGAAATCAGAAGTATTGATACAAAACTCAATAACTTACTATTTTCTTGTATAGTATTTGGTGGTTTTCAAAACTTATGTAATTAGTCTAAAGATGCAACACGGAATTAGTTATGAAAATATGAAAAGCTGTAGTGATCCAACCTCCAGAAATATGCAATAATTTACAAAATCAAAAATTGAAAACAATCATAACCATAAAAAATTTACAAAATGATAACCCAACTTACTCAAATAATTAAAAGTCACTATGCAACACTAAATATTAAAAAGTAATCATCAAAAAATGGATAATGGAAATTAAGTGGAAAGGATCACGTTATTGTACCTTTGCAATCATAGGACTATTTTAAGACCAATAAAGTAGGAAAAAATCCAATTGGATTATTTTTAATGACATTTTATCCTGGTTGAGTTACTCAAAACTTTATAAAATGTCGATGCACACAGATTAAAACCCTCACTTGAATATGAGCAACACATATACATAAAAAGACATAAAACCTAATATTTGTACAAAAGGGAAACACGACAAGAAGGGAGGAAAAGGGGAAAAAAAAGGGGAAGAAAGTATCACTTTTAACCACTGGCACAAAGTTCTTCAACAATTATCTCTCTTTCTTACTCCTCTTTTTCTACCTCCCTGTTCTATTCTGCTCTTGGGATTCTCTATCAATGCTACGTTCCTTACTCTCTTATTCTACCTCCGTATTCTATTCTTCTCTTACTCTTCTCTGCCACAATATCTTGCACTATTATCTTTTTTGTATATAACTGGGACTCTCTTCAAATCCTTTCATTTATGACCACAAAGGCATTTACCTCTCTCTTTTCGCAACCCCTCTAGTCTTGCTCCTCTCACTTCTCTTCCTCTTCTCGCTCTCCTTTTCATCTCTTGTTGTTTCCTATTCTCTATGCTCCTGTTGTCATAGAAGGACACTATTTATGGAACTCCTGGCATGGGGGCTGCCTTCTGTGACTTTTGTACTCTGTGTAGCCTACAAGGGTACCCCCTCGGTTATGCACACCCAATTACTTTAGATACAGTAACAAAGATGTATTGGCTATGGAACCCTTTGGAAGCACATACCTCGGTGATGCTCTGCATCCCTTTCACCCATCTGCCTTCTGCCTCTTCTTACAGCTCCTGCCTTCTTATCCTTAGCGGTTCAAACCTCGTGGTCTTCTGCGTTTACAGGAGGTCGTTGGATTCCCTTTTGGTTTTACTTTTTTGCTTGTTCACATCTTATATGTACAAGGTGTGTAAGAACCCTATTTTGTATAGAGGCCATTTTTTGGTTATGTAACAACTATACTTCAGTGTTACAGTCAACATTTTCTCAAAAAAAAAAAAAAAAAAAAAGAAAGAAAGAAATATGAGATTTGGTAGCTCCTTGGCTGCCCAAGAAGAGGGGCAGGCCTCCCTCTTTTGTAAAAAAAAAATATTTAAAAATTTTAGAAATAAATAGAAGGACATAAATTTACAAACAATTGGGACTTGTGTTATGTCGCCCGGTTCCCTAACACCAGCCTGTTCTATCATAGACTTGGGCGGTTCTTTATAGAACCTGGCAGTTCTCGATAAATATGGGGAATTGGATTGGGTTCCCTAATTCTTAATCTGGATCAGTCGATTCCAATTCGGATCGCCGTTTTGATCAGAATGTCATTAGTTTATAAAAATGCCATATGAACCATCTTCTTGCCATCCATATTTCTTTGGATGATCTCCATGACTTGAATGCATCTATTCGGGAACAAACCTAGGCTAGTTTATACTATTGATTAATCACCTGACCTTATCAATAAAGTGTCCTACATATAAATGTTCAAAAGAAAAAAAGAGAAAAATGTCCTTGAGGTCTAGTGGCTGAGGAATATGTCTCTTGCACAGCTTCAGGAAGCTTGTTTAAACACATCTCTGCCCAAGAAGCCACTCACTTAACCTGAACTCATTGTATGAAGAATGGAGTTTTCTTAGTTGTCCCTGGAAACCTTATCTATCCCAATTTGCTTGAACATTTTTGTTACACATTGCATATATTTTTCATATAATTTAATTTTTTAATATAATTTGTCATGCCGATAACTATTTTATCAGGTTCAAAATTGTGTATATCTAATGAATTCAAAGGTTAGTGGATATTGCATATAATAGTTCAGTGTTTTTTTTTTTTTAATCGTTTAGATCTTGGATATGATTATCATTATTTTATGCTTTTCTTTGATATTTTCTGTGAGTTAGTTTTCATGGAGTTAACTCTCTGCGGCTGATTAATATTGTTCCATTGACTATGTGTTTTCGCAGATTCTGGATGAGATGCCTGTGTTCTATAATCTTAATGCCATAGAAAAGCGTGAAGTACTAATTTGTATTATGCAAATTGTTCGTAACTTGGATGATGCATCACTTGTAAAGGCATGGCAGCAAAGTATAGCTAGGACCAGACTCTTTTTTAAGCTTATGGAAGAATCTCTTGTCCTGTTTGAGGTATGTATGTGTGAATGATTTGTTTGTCACTCGGAGCCAAGTACTACTCATGACTTTCTGTTTTAAATGGATTAGATGATTGCTAGTATCCTGGTTGAATGTTTTTGCTCAGGCATTGGGTGCTCTCAAACTGTCTAAATTTCATCATCTGGTGTTTCTTTCATGTAAAGTATTTCTTCATCTTACATTTCAAATAAAAAGTATTTTTTCATCTTGTGTTATACTATTACTGTACCTTCTTCCTTGGTTGCGTCCTTGCTAATTTAAAATCAGTGTGGGTAGGTGATACAGGATGTTCCCGTGGGTTTCTTGATTAAAAAATGTGTTCATATTTTCTTTCCGTGAGACGTTCTGATAGAATGTATTGCATGGCAGCATAGGAAACCGGCTGACACTTTGCTTATGGGCTCCAGTTCTCGAAGCCCTGATGGAGAAGGACCTATTTCTCCCAAGTATTCTGACAGGCTTTCACCAGCAATCAACAGCTACCTGACTGAAGCCTCTCGACAGGAAGTTCGAGTATGTCAATGTGGTTCTTAATGAGTTTCTGTCCAATAGTGATCTCCATCCAAATATGATGCTTGGTTACCTAGAATTTAATATATAAGGCTCCAAGCCAATTGGTTGTTCATGTGTTTATGTTTTGTTTTCTAATTATATATATTTGTTCATCTCTGACATGTTTAATTGCTCGCACATTTTAGGAGAGAAGCCATTTTTTTTTGAACAGTTTACCCATTTCTGCTTCCTTGTTATATCTGTGCAAAACAATAATTATTGGCCACTCTGTGTTATATTCCTTAAATGTCCAATAATTAGTTTCCCTTATGCCATTTATTGTACAACAGTGTTACTGTTCTTTGCTAAATGGTGACAAACTTGCCACAATGTTTGCTACATTTTGAGCTTTTGAGTCAGGAGTCTTGGCGGCCTTTGTGTTTTTATACTTTTTATTTCGTTCAGGAATCATCCAACTTTATAGTGAGATGGTGATATTCAGCAAGTGGATATCCTTTTGTTTTATTGCAATATAATGCACATAGTAACTAAGAGGATTGGACTGTAAGGGGCTATGAAGCAATTATCTGCCATGGTGGCGTTGTTTCCCCAAAAACGTTGGACCATTAATTGAAGTCTTGCAAATAACCGCAACAATGGAATATTTTGTTGGATTAGCTCTGTTTTGGGGTGTGCACAACATGTTTTATCGTGATGGCCATATTTAAAAGGATTGTATACCATGAGACCATTTACCGGTGTTACAAGGAGGTCACAATCACTCTTAGTCATTAAATATCAAATTAGATGACTTGGGGTGTGTCATGAAGTTTGAGAAATTTTTTTTTAAACTTTCTAGTCAATGACACATTTACAACTACCCTATTCAAAATCTAACAAACAAGAGTGATTGTGACCTCCTTGTGCTAAAATAGGTGGTCTCTTTGTATCCTTTTCCTTATTTAAAATCCATCCTTTTCTTTGGAACCTATCATTTCGTGGAAATCATAACTGGTTCTCACATTTACAACTGACATGGATCAATCATATCTACTGTTTGGACCTTCTATAGTAATGATGCGTAGCCTAGCTGAACTGGCTCAGATTGGCAAAACTTGAAATGAAACATTTTTCTACATGTTATTTTTCTGATGATTCTGAATATTACGATCATATTGCCTACTGCAGCCTCAAGTAACACCGGAGAGTGGCTTCTTGTGGAACAAAGTCAGTCCACAGCTAAGCTCCCCAAGCCAACCATACTCCTTGAGAGAAGCTCTGGCCCAGGCTCAGTCTTCCCGGATAGGGGGGTCCACAAGAGCACTGAGAGAGTCTCTGCACCCCATGTTGAGACAAAAATTGGTACATTTGTACTTTTCCATTTTTAAATTCTAGTGTAAAATCCACGAAGATGTCTGATTATCATATCCATTCGCATACAGGAGCTTTGGGAAGAAAACTTGAGTGCGGCAGTCAGTCTCCAAATTTTGGAGATAACTGGAAAGTTCTCTCTTGCCGTGGCTTCCCACAGCATTGCCACTGATTATGGGAAGCTGGATTGTATTACATCCATATTTATGAGCTTCTTTTCCCGAAGCCAACCTCTCGGATTTTGGAAAGCCATGTTTCCTGTATTTAACAGCGTCTTTAATCTTCATGGTGCCACATTGATGGCAAGAGAGAATGACCGCTTCTTGAAGCAAGTGGCATTCCATCTTCTTCGCCTGGCGGTTTTCAGAAATGACTCTATCAGGAAAAGGGCAGTTATTGGACTCCAGATTCTTGTGAGGGTATGCATGTCGCAAAACTTTATTGGACTCCAGATTCTTGAATCCATTTTGAATCCATTTTCTGGCCTTTATGTTTTTCTCTTTTTGTTTGCAGAGTTCTTTTTATTATTTTCTGCAGACGACAAGGCTGAGGGTCATGCTCACGATTACTTTGTCAGAGTTGATGTCTGATGTACAAGTAACTCAGATGAAGTCTGATGGATCACTTGAAGAGAGTGGGGAAGCTCGGCGTTTGAGAAAGTCATTGGAGGAAATGGCAGATGAGAATAGGACTTCTGAGCTCTTAAAAGAGTGTGGACTTCCTGTGAGTGCTCTTCAGGCAGTGCCTGATGGGTCAGAAAAGAACCAGTGGTCTTGGTTAGAGGTGAAGCTACTCTCTAACGGTCTGCTTCAAGCCCTTGATGCAGGCTTAGAACATGCCATCCTGGTATACATGCATCCATCAGACTCATTCACTGAGAGTTTGTCCAGCAAGTACAGTTGATACTGAGATCAGCTTTGGTTTTCTTCCATGGCAGGGCTCGCTGATGACAGTGGACAGATACGCAGCTGCAGAGAGCTTTCATAGGCTAGCCATGGCGTATGCACATGTTCCTGACCTTCACATAATGTGGTTGCTCCATTTATGTGATGCTCATCAGGAGATGCAATCATGGGCTGAAGCTGCACAATGTGCGGTGGCCGTTGCTGGTGTCATCATGCAGGTCAGTACTTAGGACAGCAAAACTCTGCGGTTACTACTTTCCATGCAAGCAAACACTCGATTCTCTCTATAAATATATATATATAGGGGAATGATCTCATGTCAACCTCTCATTAAAATATAATGAAACTGCATTTCTTCTAGGAAACCACATTTGTAGAATTTTTTGGCCTCAAATTTTACATACACACTCTTTATCATAATAATCAATTCTAAAAAATATAATTCAATCTCCACCCTAGATATGGTTAGAATGAGGTCCCTCTAACAATGAATCTAGACCATCCATTTGGTGAATTTCAAGATCTAGGCCTTCACCAATTCAAAATCAAATTTTTATTTTTTAACATTATTAATCTAATGATAATAACGCTACCTAAAAAATTTGGAAAAGAAAAAAATCCTTTCAAGGCCTAGATCGAAGCATCTCACCAAAATGGATGGCCTATATTAATTGGGCTAAAAAAGGCTTCTTAGACTATGTAATGAACGCTTGGCAGTGTCCTTAATGAAGTTATTTGAGATGAGCTTATAGGCAGTTTTACATAGAAGTTTATCTTTTTGAAAAGATGTTTTTGATTTATTCCAAGTAATATGTTGAAATCACGTGTTTTGTCTAGAAAGAGCGAAGTATAGTTGGAAATCACCGAAAACATTAAATATTTAAATAATATTATCTATAATATATTGATTTGTACCAATTAGCCTTTTTCTCAAAAAAATAAAATAATTTGTACCAAACCACTGACAAAATAATATTATCCAGAGTATATTAATTTCAGATATTATAATCTATTCTAGATAAAATTAATTGTCATCCAAACAGGCCCTAAGTTTTTGATATCTACTTACCTAAACAGGAGTACATGTTTTCCATATTTCTATGGGATTTTTTCTCCTAAGCTAGAGTTACACTCTTTCACAAAACCCTCCTTATTTTATGAGATACGTACATATCTTCCTATTTCTGTGGGACTCTCCGTATCTTATCTCGAAATATAAACAATTTCGTTGATATAAATAGATCATCAGAGAAGCCTTATTCCAATTATTTGGGGTCGGCTTCGTTGATATAAATAGATAAAAACCTTATATTACGTATTCATTCAACTGTATTTGGTGGTTCAAGCCATTTGTTGTTTCCAAGGTCATGTGACTATAAGGGCATATTTGATAGCCATGTAATATCAAATATTTTAGAATATTATAATGTCTAATTTACTTTCAACCCAAAAAGTTTCTTAAACCCATTTATAAGGTCAAATCCTATCCTCTAAAATCTAAATAATCACCTAATACTTTAATCCTCTAAAATTCAAGAATTCAAGTCTAACTTGAATTTTAAATGATTTCTAAAACCGTATCAAATGGACTTCCACTTCTCCATCGATTGAAACTAATGGGATTGGGTTTGGTCTGTCTGTGCTGCCCAACCTCTCTCTCTAGGCTACGGCTTCACCCTCCATCGTCTCTCTCTCTCTCTCTCTCTCACAAATTTATCCCTCTCCTTAAAATTGGTATTTTGCGGGTTCCCAAGCCTAACACTCTCTAAATTCATTTTTAGGACATCAAAGCTCCAAAGCTTTAAGAAAGGTGAAGGATGCAATCCATTTAGCTATGTAAAAAAATTTCTCTCACTTGCGCCCCCTTAGATGGGTTCCTGAGCTCCAATACTTTCTGCAAATCAAATTCTCTCTCTAAATACATTTAAAGGGAACTGAATCTCTAAAGCTCTATAAATTTGTTTTCTGCCTCTCTAAATCCAGTGGGCACAGATGCTCCATAAAATCTTTGTAAATCATTTCCTCCCTAAAATGCCTTCAATTCATCGATTCCCCATTTTATTCTATTTGCATTGGAAAATAGATAGTAGACTTTAGTGGACTATTTCATATCAATGTCTTGCTAGCCTGTTTTAGTTGTTGGAACTAATCTCCTTTTTATGGAGTTTTCCTTTTTAACTAAATTTACATTTAGCTCATGGGAAACCATTTATAATGCATTTTCATCATAGATCCATTAAATTGTTTCCTCTCTTTAGCATCCAGTGGCTACATTTCTTTATATTTGATGATGGTCAATAGGCTATCTCTAAGATATACTTATATAGATTTTCTTTTCTTTTTTGATAAGTTTGTAAGGGTGCATTTATTGATCACGAAATTGTACCCACCAAACCTATAAATGCAGCTTATTTATTGGATATACAATATGTTCCTGAAGTGTTTTACAGAAATTGTTGGGAACTTATTCTCAATGACATGGCAATGGCTTGAAATTATTTGATGAAATGCCTCGAAGAAAGTTGGTTTCATCTAAATTTTTAATTTTACGGGCCAAATAGTCCAAATTAAGGTCTACAAAAGTTTTTGAAATAGGGTTTGACATTAATGCATGCAAAACAAATAACTATTCAGTGTATAATCCAGGAATACAGTAAGCTAGGAAAGTTGTTAATCAGAAACAGTTGTTTCAATGCTGAAAAACCCTCAAATTGATCATCTCAACCTCGAGATGTATGGATAAGAAAAAAAGAAGTTTGAAGTCATTAAAATAGTGTTTCTTGTAATGTATTATCTGGACAGTCAGTTTTCAAAAAATTTAAGTGTTTATAGATTTGCTCGATTTACATCATTTTTTTATCCTAAATTTCATATTAGGGGTAACAAAATGGATTTCTATGCCGTCATAAGGTTTTCCAGCACCAAAACTGTATCTTTCAGCATAGGTTTGAGGTGCTCCTTACTTCGGTAGTATTACATTTATTACTTTATATTTATAAATATGATTACATATTTTATTTGTAGCACTACAATGTTTAATATAATTTTCTATTACTCATATTTTATATAGTGATTTTTAAAAAATTAAATTATCATGATAATATGTATAATCATAACTATTGATTTGTATTCATAAAATTATTCATTAGGGTCTGTTTGATAAAATATGATAAAAATTTAATATAATTATTAAATACCTTTGCCCTTTAAGTAAGATGTGTCAAAAAGGATACTCATTATGGTTCCATTATCCGTTAATTATGATAAGAGGTTGTTTTAATTGCCCAATATTAGTTTGATAATGAATACATTATATACAAATATGTGAACTATACTTATATTGTAAGTGATGATAATGATGACTTATATTATGAGTGATGTTTACATCATTTTAATTATTATGTTTTTCTAATATTATTACCCGATTTATAATATATTATTAAAAATATGACATAACGGTTGTAATATATATTATTAACACCATGTAATAATTTGATTATGATAATGTAAATAGTATTATAATTATAACTGTAAATATTAGGATGAGTAAATTTAATTACAAAAAATATGTGATTTAATATACTTGCGTAAATTTTTTATTTGAGTTTCTAGAATAATGTTGAATTCCGACATTTTAAAAGTAGTTTTAACTACTCCATTGTACATTGTACCATCTCTTCTCCTCCCTTTATTCACCTAAAAGCAATTCTCCTCCCTCATTCTTTCCCTTTCCAAACTCTCCACTTAATATGAGCTATGTTTCCTTGTAGCACTTACGTTTTCATCTTCCCTTATAAGTGGGTCCTATCTCTTTTATGGCTGTCGCCAATCGTTTTCTAAATTATCCGCTTTATCTTTCGCATCTCCTTTTTCCCAATCAAATGTTGGATTTTCCTTTTTGCTCAACAGGCACTTCCTTTCTCGCTTCCTTCTCCTTTTTCTATTTTTGTTTTCTTCGTATTCCTCTCTATCCCTATAGGACCCAGATTTTATATTTCTATTTACATCCCACCTTTATATTTGTTACTCTTTTGGTTGTATAAATGCTCTTTACTTCTATCATTCTTGTTTTATAGTCTGAGCACCCAGTATTTGGGTTACCTGTGGTTTTTTTTAACTGTATTTATACTTGTCATCCTTCTCACTCTGAAAAAAAAAAAACGAAAAAAAATTTCATGACTAATATGCATTTTCCCATCTCCTCTAGCTTTCTCTTACTATTATCCATTTTGAAAGGATAATTTCATATTTAATTTTTTTTTCTTGAGAGATTGGAATTTTAGAATTTATGTTTTATGTTTGAAGATTGGCGTTGTATGTGAAATAATGTATCTATTTTATTCTCTCAGTGTCTTTTAAAAGTTAGATGTTTTCATTTCGTGTTTTTGTGTTTTGAATATTCTCTATTACTTTTTTGTATTTCAATTATTGTAACTTGCAATAAAACATGTGATTTGGTACTAGAGAAATGGAAAACTTAATATTTTCTTTTTTATTTTAGAGGACGACATGGTGATTTATGTTAAATAATGTATTTTTATTCTTTTTAAGGAGTTTTTAAAGGGGCATGTATTTTACTTTCTTATTTTTATCTTTTAAAATTTGTGTTGCTACTTTTTAAGGTTATCTAATTACAATTATATAAATTTTGTAAAAGTATGTGATTTGATGTAGTAATTTTAATTGTTTTGTTTTTTTATGAGATTCTGGGTAGCTTTTATTTTTTATGCAAATTTTGACATATTCAAAGTTGATCATAACTAATCTTTAATTCCCCTATCGTTTAAATAATATATATTTTGTTTCTTAAAGATTTCTAAAAAATTAGATATGTTGTTTATGTCTTAAATTTTGTTTATCGTTTTTTAAGGTTTGTGATTACCAATTTATAATTTTTAAAATTTTAACAAAAATATGTGCTAGTATACGAACTTTAATTTCTTTTTTAAGATTCTTGGATAACTTTTATCTTTTATTAGGATGACCTTTGATGTATTAAATTTTATTCATAACTAATTTGATAATGAGTTTTGACACCACTTTTTATTCATAACTAATTCTTTATTCTTATCTCTAGCTTGTTTTTGTTTTTCATTCGGCATGTCTCTCATGATCTCTCTGTTTTAAAATAATATTTTTACTACTATTTTATGAGTTAATTTTATTTTATAAGGTGAGAGCTTTCAATCTTGAATGCTAGAGAAAAGGAAAACTTAAAGTTTTTTTTAAAAATTTTAAAAATAATAATTAGAGCATCCATTTAGTTTTTATGTTATATCTATTTTAAGATTTTTTTCGGAAACTTTTGTGTTCTAATTTCTAATAATTTTATGTTTTAACTAATAACTATTGGTTTTTATTATTTTTAATATTTAATGATCACTATTTTTTTATTTTTAAGTGAAATATGTGATATAGTATACTTGCTTCTTATTTTTTAGATTCTTGAATATATTTTATATTTTATGAAAATTAACTTTTACCTGAATAATTCCTCCTTTTCTTTTTCTTTTCTGAGGAAAAATAGTGAGATTTGGAAAAAAAAATGTCATATTGTTTTCAGGTTTTTATGTTTCTTTCTCTCAATGCTTTCTCTTGCTATTGTCTGTCTACACTATGTCTCTCTTGATCTCTGTATTTCCAAATATTATTGTTGTCTTTGTTAATATTTTATTTTGATTTTATAAGGTGAGTCCTTTTAATGTTGGGTGCTAGAGAAAGGAAAACTTTGTTTTGGTTTTTAAATTTAAGGGCATGGATTGAATTTTTTATATTAAATAATATTTTTCTTTTGAATAGCAATAGATATGGCATAGGTATAATGGTAGGCACAAATTTAAAGGATAAAGTAGTTGATGTGAGGAGTGTAGGTGATGGGCTCCTATTAATTAAACTTGTATTAGGGGAGGAGATAGTTAATGCAGTTAGTGTTTATGCATCATAGATAGGACTAGAAGGTAGAATTAAAAGATAATTCTGGGAGGATATGAGTGGAGTTCCCAAGGAATCAAATGGAAAGATCCGTAGAGGACATGAATTTGGGAAAAGAAATGAGATGGGTGATGCTATTCTTGATTTTGCTATAGCTTACGACCTAGCAATAGCAAATACCTATTATAAAAAGCGAGATGAACACTTCGTAACTGACAAAAGTGGATCATATAAAAGTAAGATAAACTTTTTTCGAGTTAAAAATGCAAAAATGATGATCATGTAAAGACTGTAACGTTATCCTAGAAGAGAGACCGACCATGCATCACAGACTAATGGTTATGGATGTTTGTATAAAGAGATGATAAAATTAATTGGTGTCCAAGAACTAGGTGGTGGAATTTAGAAAGGGATAAAATAGATTTATTTAGGAATTAATTGATAAAAGAAGGAAAACTAAATTTTGATGACGAAGTTAATGTTGTGTGGAATGAGATGAATGATTGTATTAAGAAAGTTGCAGAAGACATTTTAGAAGAATTTAGAGGGAAATGACATTCTGGTAAGGAAACTGGTGGTGGAGTAATGAGGTTCAACAAGCTATTAGCAAAAAACGAATATATTACAAAGCTTGGTCATGGAAGAGAAATGATCAAACCTTAAAAGAATATAAATATGCCATGAAGAATGCTAAGAAAATACCAAGGCTAAGCCTAAGGCATATGATGATTTATACAATAGATTGGGTACAAGAGAAAGTAAAAGATGTCTTCAAACTAGCAAAAATGAGAGAGAGGAAGTGCAAGGATCTAGATCATGTTAAATACATTGAGAGTGAGGATCATATGGTTTTCTTGAAGGATGACGAGGAACGTTTAACATAAATGAAGTCAGAGGTCAAAGATACATTCATATGATTATGATATCTACAATGAAAGAAGCTTTGAGAAGATGAAGATAGGAAAGCCTTAGTTACGGATCGTATATCAATAGAGGTTTGGAAGTGCATGGGAGATATTGGCATATTCTAGTTCACCAATGTTCAACAAGATTTTGAGAACAATAAAAATACCAGACGAATGGAGAAAAACTATTGTAGTATCTATTTACAATAACTGAAGAGACATAGAGTTGTATGAACTATCAAGGGATCAAACTTTATGAGCCATACTATGAAGTTGTGGGAGGGAGTGATTGAGCCACGACTACGACATGAAACGAGTATATCAGATAATCAACTCGATTTTATGCCAAGGAGTCGATTTTATGCCATGGAGGTCAATTATTGTGGCTATTTTCCTACTTAGGCAATTGATTGAGAAGTTTACATAGAAGAGAAAATACCTCCACATGGTATTTATTTATTTAGAGAAAGCATATGATATGGTACCTAGGGAGTTAATTTGGTGGATGTTCAAATAGAAATGTGTTTTTTAACGATTTATTGATTGGTGAGGGATATGTACGAGTGAGCTTTAACTAGTGTGAGGACAACTAGTGAAGGAAGCGAGTTTCGGTGACAATATACCTACATTAGGGGTCATCGTTGAGCCTACATCTCTTTGCCTTGGTTATGAACGAGTTAACTAGGCATCTATAGCATGAGGTCCTATGATGTGTGTTGTTTGCGGTTGGCATAGCTTTGATTGATGAGATTAGAGGCGGCATCAATGCGAAGTTGGAACTTTTGAGGGATGCTTTAGAATCTAAGGTTTTAAAATTAACTTAATTCAGACAATATATATAGAATGCAAGTTTAGTACTAATAGGAGTAGAAACGGGGAATTAATTAAGATGGATAACCAATGGGAGTGAAGAGATTGAGGAAGATGTCATGCATAGAATTAGAGCTAAGTGGATGAAAAGTGGAGATTTGCTTCTGGAGTCTTACGTGATTGCGCATGCCAATGAAAATGAAGGAGAAATTTGATAGGATCACGGTAAGATCGGCTATGTTTTATGAGACTGAATATTAGGCGGTCTAGAAATAACATATCCATAGAATGAGTGTGGTTTAGATGACAATGTTGAGATGGATGTGTAGGAAGATAAAAAATGATAGAATTTGGAATGAATACATACAAGGGAATTTAGGGGTAGCTCCAATCGATGATAAAATTAGGGAAAGTAAACTTAGGTGGTCTGACCATTTGCAGCGTCGACCTCGAACAACACCGGTTAGGAGTGATTTGGTTCAAGTGAAAGGCTCTAAAAAGAAAGGGAGGGCCGAAAAGGACATGGATAGAAGTAGCAAGAAGGGAGATTGTGACTTATGGTCTAACTGAGGGTATGGCCCTTGATAGAGCAGAATGGCGAAATAAGATTCCCTGCTCCACACTAGCGTTAATTCTTTTTTGAAGATTCCTTGTTAATTTTTTTTAATTGTGAATTTAATGATATTAAAAACTATTTATAATTGATTTTTAATTTTCTTGTCGGCTCTTGCTCTTCTTTTGCGGTTTTCCATCTGTGCTATGTCGCTCTTGATCTGTATGTTTTGAAGCAGTCTTTTTATTTTATTGTGTAAGGCATTACCTTTTTAGTCTTTGTTATTACAAACATTATTTCTTCTTTTAATGTTGTTTTAAAAAATGTTATCTTCCTGTGGTTTGAATTTTTGTATATTTCTCACATCTTCCCTTTTTTAATTACAAGCTCTTTGACTATTGTCATATTTAGCGGTAAGGTAAAATGTAGGGAGAAAAAAATATCTATTGCTCATCAAATTTGAGATATTATTTGTAGCAATGTACATATACAAGTTAATAAATATGTTTGATGTAATAATAGATGTTAATATTTATTTTAATTGAAGTTGAAGTTAATTATCTCTATATTCATAAAACATATACGCTCTATATTCATGAAACATACAAGTAAAGATGTGACCACAAATTCAATTAATTTTTTTCTCTTTTTGACCAAATTTCCACAAGAAGGTTATAATGCATCTTTTCTAACTTATAATTGTTATTTCCTTGAAGTATTGAAATTCACACAAGTATAATAATTAAATTTTGATATTTGTTCAAATGATTAATATTTCAGTGACACTTGCAACGTACTAGTGTTTGTGTGTGTGTGTGCACATGTGCATGTGTTTGTGTGTGTAAGTATGTATTATATGCAGCAACCTTCATCCACACACTCACATGCCTTGCTCTTCTGAGAATATTGTCTATAGGCTCTTGTGGGAAGGAATGATGCTGTGTGGAGCAGGGAACATGTTGCTGCTTTACGTAAAATTTGTCCAATGGTCAGCAGTGCAGTTACTGCCGAAGCAGCAGCTGCTGAAGTGGAAGGTTATGGTGCATCAAAGCTCACGGTTGACTCAGCTGTGAAGTACCTACAACTAGCCAATAAGCTCTTTTCTCAGGCAGAGCTCCACCACTTTTGCGCCAACATTTTGGAGCTCATAATTCCAGTGTATAAGAGCCGCAGGGCATTTGGACAGCTTGCAAAATGTCATACTTCTCTTACCAACATCTATGAAGCTATCCTTGAGCAAGAAACGAGCCCCATTCCATTCACTGATGCCACTTATTACAGGGTAGGGTTCTATGGGAGTCGATTCGGGAAACTGGATAGGAAGGAATATGTATACAGAGAGGCCCGTGATGTTCGTTTGGGAGATATAATGGAGAAACTAAGTCATATTTATGAGTCAAGAATGGATGGCAGTCACACCTTGCATATAATACCAGACTCTCGACAGGTCAATGCAGACGAATTGCAACCTGGTGTTTGCTATCTTCAGATTACGTCAGTGGACCCAGTCATGGAGGATGAGGACTTGGGGAGTAGGAGGGAGAGGATATTCTCTCTTTCCACAGGGAGCATGCGTGCACGTGTATTTGATCGCTTCTTGTTTGATACCCCTTTCACAAAAAACGGGAAGACCCAAGGAGGGCTTGAGGACCAATGGAAGCGGCGCACCGTCCTTCAAACAGAGGGGTCGTTCCCAGCTCTGGTAAACAGGCTCCTGGTGGTGAAATCAGAGTCCCTTGAGTTCTCCCCTGTGGAGAATGCGATCGGGATGATAGAGACGAGGACGGCTGCTCTGAGGGGGGAGCTTGAAGAGCCACGCAGCTCTGATGGTGACCAACTCCCCAGGCTTCAGAGCCTACAGAGAATACTGCAAGGCAGTGTTGCTGTTCAGGTGAGTTTGTCTTCACTCTTATCAATCATCCTATGTAAACTTGAATATCTCACACTACTTAAGATGGTACTCTATCGCTCAACCTATTTGAAATGCAAATATCTTATCATACTTGAGATTGTGTACTTGGAACAAGAAAAGTAGTGTCAATTCCCTTCTGAACCATTTCAAGTCTCAAGGCTTTTGATGCCTTTGCAGTGATTATAACTGCAGTTTTACTTTTGTCATCCTATGTAAACTAGAATATCTCACATTACTTAAGGCGGTTCTTTATCGCTTAACCTATTTGAAATGCAAATATCTTATCATACTTGAGACTGTGTACATGGAACAGGAAAGGTAGAGTCAATTCCCTTCTGAAGCATTTCAAGTCTCAAGGCTCTTGATGCCTTTGTAGTGATTATAACTGCAGTTTTACTTTTGTTAGTGAATGTCTTGATCTGGAATGGTCTTTGAAAGACGCATAATAGGAGCCATAGTTACAAAAATAAAAGGGCATCATCTTCTTTCTCGCTTGTCCCCTTTTTCCCTTCTTTGATTTGAATATGAGAAAAATTTGTTGGGGGATTGGTGCAGGTGAACAGTGGAGTCCTGGGTGTATGCACAGCTTTCCTGTCAGGGGAGCCAGCGACAAGACTGAGGTCTCAAGAGTTGCAGCAACTGATTGCTGCCCTTCTTGAGTTTATGGCTGTTTGCAAGCGAGCGATACGGGTTCACTCAAGGTTGATTGGTGATGAGGACCAGGATTTCCACACACAGCTTGTGAATGGGTTTCAGTCTCTCACTGCAGAGCTCTCTCATTATATCCCTGCCATTCTATCAGAGCTTTAACTACGATTCTTCTCCTTTGATTTGTCTTTTTCGTTTTTGTTCAATTGTTCATATTTGCTCTGTTGTATTATTTCCTTGGCTAATTTCATGTTTTGATTGTATATTTATTATGATTGAAATGTTTTTGTTCCCTTGGCATGACCCTCCTGTAAAAAATGCTGAGTTCCTCTAGGGGAGATGTTCGAAGGGCATTTTTGTTATATGAATGTTGTATTAACAACTGCTTTTGGAGCAAACGAATTGTATGCGTTTCTCCAACACCAGTGATTCCTGAGAATGTCCAATTGGCATAGCAGATTGAATGTTTGCATCATCAGCACAAAATGCACACAGGAAATGACGTTTATCTTTGATCATTCAGCTGCATCAGCATTTCTGTAGTTTCTGCTACTGGCTGCAGGCATGGGCTTTACAAACTGAATAATTTCCAGACACTTAAATGGAAGATGTAGTGAATAGTGAATGTGAGTAGAATATCATCGTTACAGTACACTGCTATGATTCATTTGAAGGCTTGCAGAGAAGAAACATAAGATGCAATTGATGTTAAATGAAGCGAGCGTTTATCTTCATGACACATCAACACTGATCTTTAATCCCTGAATACACAAAAGGTTACATATTTGCATGTTTATACGTGTGAAAAGAAATGCGCACAAATACAAGCGGGAGCATATCATGTGTTTTACTCCCTCCGGTTAAACATTGTTCAAGGGTACTTCTATGGGCCAACTTTAAAGAGGCTTTCATATGACTTGTCTTTGAAAAATCCCCTTACTGCGATTTTAAGTGTTCAGGCAAAACTCAATTCTTGTTTTTCTCTGAAAATACTTCTGGTTAATTCTAAGGTCCGCTTCAGAGTTTAGATCAAGAAAATACTCTTTTTACCCTCGGACGCAAGGGTATGGTGCGCACGTACAGGTGAATACCATATTGTTCAAATGATAAAACAGGTTAAATTCAACAAAGAAAAACTGAAGTCAATAAATGAGTATGTAAATATACGTTGTCCATATATGCAAATTTTTTGGCTGCGAACAGGCTAAAGGTGGCCCATGGGACGGGTGCTTGTATGCGAGTCTGAATTTAAGAACCGCAAACCAAGTTATAGAGGAGTAAATTCAGGCCAGCCCATCATAGCACGCCTTGCAACAAATTAGATTGTTGTGTATATAATATGTAACATGCGAAATTCTGCCTCAGGGTTCAAATGAATAACTTGGACCTAAGCATCCACCAATATGTATTTATTCTGAGAGACGTGTGTGAGGCAGCAGTCCATCACAAGCCATGTGCCGCATTTCAAGCACCTGCCCATTAATTATCATCCATTGAACTCGATAATTATGAAAAAGTAAAATGGCATTGGTGATGGAGCATATGTTTTTGGAGATCCCCAAAAGCCCCAAATCTGATTAATATATCATCCATTGAACTTGATAATTATGACAAAGTACAATGGCATTGAGCATTTTTGTTTCTGCTATTGGACAATAAGGGAACGACTTTGGAGCCTTTTATGTCCTCACCCATTAAAAAATACATCTACCATTTTACCTTATACATGACCCTGGAGAAAAACCAGATCCAAATTTACAAGCAAGCAAGAAGAGGGTAGGGCAATGTTATGTGAAAATTTTGAAGGCCAAATGGAAGAACAGCTACCTTACCGCTACCCCAACGTACAGGCCGAGTAATGGTCATCATGTTCCTTACCCTCCAAATCAAATGTTAAATGCTGCGAAAACTTATAAGCAACTTCTCTACAAGATCATGCCCGATATGTATACATCATTAGAAGAAGAGACAAAGGAGCAGCATTTCACATTCCACGTTATTGATTTTTGGCAACCCCGCTGCTATCATTCATAAGTTCACACATATATACAGCTTTGACCCGGGGTTTTTTTAAGGGGGGAGGTGGGATGACAAGAAGTCCACAGAGCTGCTTTTAAACAGGGAATTGCAACCACATACCATAGACCTGCTACTAATATTTATTACTCATTCGAGTTAAGGGATCCTATAATATACATCTTATTTGCTCATGGAAGTAGGGGATATATAATCCGCTCTTCATGAACTTAAGCTGTGGGTGGGGCAAGCAAGTTCTCACGTTCAGCAAGTTGGCCATGAAGAAACTCGAGCACTGATAATCGCTGCAAAACACACGAGCAATAAATTCTAACTTCAGGACATTCAGTGGGAAGATGCATGGACGCAAATGAGTACATCTTAGCAAAAAAGACTGTACCCTTTTTTCCAAAGCAACTTCATTCGCGTCTAATTTGAGGCTTTCCAAGCATTTTATGGCTTCCTGAAATCCATTTATAGCCATGCCCTCATTGCCCAGGCTCCGGTCCACATCAGCAACTTTTGCTAGAGATACAGCTATATCTACCATCTGAAAAATAATAAAAATAATCCGAGCTGTATATTATTTTTTTTAGAGAAGTTCACTATAATTGCATTAGATAATAGTAGGAATTACAAAGGGAGGTGACCGAAATGGTCATGCAATACAAGCCCAAGAGGGTCCAATCAGAGCTGTATATTATTGATCTGCCTATAAAACGTCAAAAAATTTATTACAAAGGGCCAATCAATTGTGGTACGATCAACTTAAGACTAAACAAAGCTACTTTTTTAAACTACATGACACATTAACAAACAAAATGAGAAGCCAAAACAGAGACGGAAGCTAGTCAATACTTCAATAAGCATCTCAAAGGAGAACATTCTAAATGATAAAACATAGGAGTTCAAAATGCTTTCATTCAGCAGAGAATAATACATCTTCAAGCAGTGGTGTCGAGTTCACTATGCTGTGGCCCAAGTCTTTGGCTTCCGCCCTAAACAGAACCGAAGACAAGATTCCTGACAAAATTTGAAAATATCAGCATAACTGTTTAGAAATTTCATCCAAGAGAGGGAACAAGAGTGCGCTTCTGGTCAGATCTCTGGCTCGGACACACTCCCTTAAGGGATCTCTTCCCCTCCCTTTACTCCATTTTCTCTAACAAAGATTCCACTTCGCGGAGGAAATGGTAGTAGTGGGAGGTAGAAGAGTGTGGAACCCCTCCTTCAGAAGAAACCTCTCTAATGAGGAAACAAATGACTTTCTCTCTCTTTCAGCAGTATTACATAATTCCTTCATTTAACACAAGGGAGGGATTTGTTGGTATGGTCTCTTGCACCCTCTAGTATTTTCTCGGTGGCTTCATTTTACAAAAGGCTTATCCAACCTCCCACTTTCCCTCTTAACCCACCTTCTATACTATCCAAGGTTTGGTCCACAATAGAGCCTCCTAAAGTGCAGATTTTCAATTGGATAGCGGGGTCTCAAAGGGCTCTTACACTGGATCAGCTTCAAATGAAAGGGATCCCTATTCCCAACAGATGTCATGTGTCTGTGCGAGGAAGAATCAAACCCTCACCTCTTCATCCATTGTAACATGGTTCATGATCTCTGGGGTCAAATGTTGCAGCTGTTCGAGGTCCAATGGGTAACACCTCCGACAGTCAAGGACATCTTATCTTCGGACCCTGCATCACACTGGCCGAATCCTTTGGAAGGCTGCAGTGGCGGCCATCGTTTGGGTTATCTGGAAAGATAGAAACTTCAGGATATTCCATGGCACTACTGCCAAAGGTCCAACACTTTTCCACAAGGTTACATCTCTGGTAATTTTTTGGGCATCCAACCAGCGGATCTTTTCGGGGTTCTCAACAAATACCTTCCTAAGCCACTGGGAAAACATCCTGCATCACCGTCCACGTAGGGTGCAAAAATCTCACAACTGGCAACCACCCCCAGAAGGAGTTATAAAGCTTAACTTCAATGGTTGCTCTCTGGGGGAACCCAGGTCATGCAGGTGTGGGAGGTATCTTCAGAGATCACCATCGCACAATTTTGCTTACCTTTTCCGAGTATCTTGGCTTTCAAGATTCTCAGTATGCCGAAGCAATGGCCCTGCTCTTGGGCATCAAAGCTTCAATCACTCTTGGGGCCGATACCTTTTAGTAGAGGTTGACACGAGTAATATTATATCATGGGCAACCGAGAAATCCACTCCTCCATGGTATCTCACTTCGATTTTTGATGAGATCGCATACACTTGCAGGGATATGGTCGTCTTTTGGATGCATACCTCGAGGATGTCAAACGAGTTAACTGATCTCCTGGCAAAGGACGGGACAAGGGCCCAAGTTGAAGACCAAACCCGGCTCATCTCCTTTTTTTCTTTGGACCATAGAGGGTAAACGCAACAATAAATCTCTTTGTAAAGGGGCAACCTATAAGCCCATTTTTTGTAATCTCATTGTAAATCTATTGTAATCGGGCAAATCTATAAGCCCATTTCTTGTATAGGGGTGACTGACATATTTTTTCTGATTTAAACCATATTGGACTCTTAACTTTATAGCAATACAAATGTTAACTTTATAGCAATACAAATGTTATAGCAATACAAATGTTAACTTTATAGCAATGCAAATGTTATAGCAATACAAATGTTATAGCCATACAAATGTTATAGCAATAAAAATGTTAAACTTTATAGCAATACAAATGTTATAGCAAATACAAATGTTAACTTTATATCAATACAAATGTTAACTTTATAGCAATACAAATGTTAACTTTATAGCAATACAAATGTTAACTTTATAGCAATACAAATGTTAACTTTTATCAATACAAATGTTAACTTTATAGCAATACAAATGTTAACTTTTATCAATACAAATGTTAACTTTATAGCAATACAAATGTTAACTTTATAGCAATACAAATGTTAACTTTATAGCAATACAAATGTTAACCTTATAGCAATACAAATGTTAACTTTATAGCAATACAAATGTTAACTTTAAACCATATTGTACTCCAACTTTATAGCAATACAAATGTTAACTTCTATCAAAAAAAAAAAACTTTAAAAATAGCCCAGATATATTCAAATTTTCATAATGCACTTTAAATACTCAAATTTTCAGAAAACACAAGTAAAGTCGTAAAAATTGTTGAAAATATATCTTATAACACTGAAAAAATGCCTCATTACACTTTTTGGTTTCCGGAATTTACCTATCGACTCCCCCATAAACAGCCAAGGAGTTGAACTACTTCCCTTCCCAGCTGATATGTGCCCACCGAAGGGAATTTGACAAGCTTAATTCAGCGACACACCGATGGAACTCGTTTATATATAATGATTTGAATAATTTACATGTTGTGAGATAAGGTGCATATTTACTCTCGATGGTTTTTACCATTATCGATAAGTATTCTTAGGCGCTGTCACACCAGGTGAATATAAAGGAGGATGCAACAGGTACACAAGAAAAGGGATAAGTTTCAATGGTATATCCGGACAGCAATATTTGAAATAACAGAATGATTGCTAATTCCAGAATAGGAATCAAAATCTATCCCTACAAGAAGATTTACATTCCGTACTATCAAATGAATTGTGGCATGTCCAAAACCAGTAAAAATGATCGCCCCGATTTACAGATTGAGTAAACCACCACAGGATCATCAATTGAAGTTCCACATTAAAAGAAAAACTATATTGTTGCCATGCCACCAGGATGACATTCCTTTAATGGCTATGTATGCAGAAATCATACATTAGGCAATAGTAAATTATTAAGTTGTCCCTAAGATGCTGTCCATGTAATATGCTACTAATCCTGACCCAATATTCATCACTCCACCTCAAGTCATTGAATGGACATCTATCATTCCAATCTTGCAATTTCATTGAACCCAGTGTTCCAAAAGCCACCAAGCCGACTCGGAACTGCACCAGTCGGTTGGGACCAAAGGCGGACCAGTCCGGGTCCCTCTAAAAGCAGGCAGTTCAGTTTAAAAATTTTTTATGAAACCCTTATCATTTAAAGGTGTTTTTTTCATGAAACACTAATCTGCGATTTTCAATCTTTTTGCCTCATTTCTTCATCAAAAATCATAAAGTTAGTGTCAAAATGTTAGGTTTTGATCCCTCTTTCCTATCTATGCAATCATTGTTTCATTACAAACCCAAATACAAGAAATCAAGAGTCTAGATTTCAGGACTTCTTAGAAATCGAAATTGAAAATTTTCAATCTCTCACTGTTCCACACCTCTTCATGTAGCTTAGCCATTAAATTTTGGAAGGACCGACACCTACTCTTTGCCTAGTCTTGGGTCAGCCCAGGTCAGTTCCACACTTGTTTCAATACTCAAAACTTCTCCCTATGGCCAATTCTGGCTTTACTTTGGAAAGCTTCTGTTGCGGCCATCCTATGTGCCATTTGGACCGAGCGCAACAAATGCATCTTTAGAGGCCACTGCTTTCGACTCCATGTCCTGTGGGGCAGCATCAAGTCCATGATTATCTTTTGCGCCTTGAACCATAGTAGTTTCAAGCACCTCTCAGCCTCAGAATTCCATCTTAACTGGTGGTCACTTCTCTTGTTTAGACCTAATGTCATCCCTCGAGCATCCTTTTGGTGACCTATAAAAATGGGCAAAACTAAACTCAATTTGGATGGTTGCTCGCTTGGCAACCCAGGACTGGCTGGTATTTGGGGCATCATCAGAAACCACCTCGGCCTATCCCTCCTTTCCTTCACCAAACCTATTGGTCAAGCAGATTCCGCCACGGCATAAGCTCTCACCCTATTGGAAGGTCTCAAAAACTTCAATCCTTACTGGAGCACTGAACTGGTTGTCAAGCCAAAAATGTCATCCTATGGGCCTCAAGGGAGGCCAACCCCCCTTGGAGACTTGCTCACGTGCTTGACGAGATCATTGATATTTGCAGGCACATTCTCGTGTCATGGACTCATACCTAGCGGGAGGCAAACCATGCGGCAAACACTTTTGCTAGAGGAGCAGCTATGGAAGAAGCTTAAAAGACTCTGGGGTCGTGGGGTTTTGGGGGCTTTTGGCCCTTTGTTTCGTTTCTTTCTTGGTTGCACAACATTTTTTACCCTCACCAACCCTCTCGGTGGTTTTTTTATAGAGCTCCAGATCTGTGGGCGTCCCATTTTTTTATTACTTATACAACTTTACTTAATGCATTAGTAAACAGTTTCAAAAAAAATGTACCTATCAAATTGTTCTACAAAATACCAAACAAAGTTTGTCAAGTGAACAAAAAATCTCTAAGATCGAGCTTTGCTTTTCCCCACCATTTTCTTCCCATTTTTTTATTACTTGTACAATTTTATTTAATGCAATAGTAAACAGATTCAAAAAAACTGTACCTATCAAATTGTTCTACAAAATACCAAACAAAGTTTGTCGAGTGAAAACAAAAAATCTCTAAGATTGAGCTTTGCTTTTTCCCCACCATTTTCTTCAATTTCCCTCCTTTTTGTTTATCTATTTTCTCTTAAGAATCACAATTTCGATATTTTTTCAGGTACTCTACAAGATTTCAATCATTTTCTTGGATCTATAGCTCCTATTAGATGAAACCGAAATATGAGAAATTGGGTTTTCTTTTTCTGTTTGAGCTGAATTTTTTATTTTGATTTTGATTTATAGCTCCTATTAGATGAAATCAAAATTTTGATTTTATATTTGAGCGTTTTTTCTTTTCTTTGTTTTTTTTTTTTGGGGGGGGGGGTGGCATTTTTCACCCCCTGATTCCAACTTCATCACTGTAGTTTCTTTACTTTGGACAGCTGATCCGACTTGCCGAGTTGGCCAATCCAAATCAGAACCGTGGGCACCAAATTTGACCCACCAGTCCGAGTTTTTAAACCATCATTGAACCTGTCTGTATTTAGACTTCCATGATACTATTAGCTAAGTGATTTTCCCTAACAAAGCTTTTTGCAATCGATAACCTCCCAATTATCCACAAGGCAGTAATCACCTTCCTATGATTAATGGTTACAAAGTTTAATGTTTAGCTGTTCATGTACCTTTGTCTTTGGAAGCTCAAGCAGAAGCCCATTTACTTATGTTTTCTCATATGAATCTCTTGTCTCCAGCTATTGGAGACCCTATTTCTGTACCAACTCAAGATATGCTTATTGGCCTCTATGTACTAACAATTGGGTTCTTGTCCAGCCATAACTGACCAGGTTTATGCAGTGTATCCCAGGTATTTACCTGGTTGGACCAAAAATCCCAGATATTTCTTCTCATATTAGAGATTCACCATCGATTATCATGCAAAAAGAACTTGGAATTTTTCATATGAGAACTTTTATAATGTAAAGCATTAATAGTTCAATGTGAACAGTGTATTGCCACTTGCTACAACCATGAAAAATTGAAGAGAACAAATCTATTGATGTTGAGAAGTCTTTGTTTTCTTTGAAGGGGATGGTGGTGTACCTGGGATGATATGTTTGAATGACTTTTAAGTGCATTTTGACGAACCTCCAAAGATCGGGAATAATAAGATCTTGCAATGGATAGATCACCATCATAATACTTGAGATCCCCAATCTTATTAAGTGAAACTGAAAGCGTATGCACGACCTACAAGAAGGCAGTAATGGCAACTAAGATCAGTATGTTAAATGGAAGGTGATGAACACACTATATATCGTGTGAGCATGCACATGTGTGTATGAGAAAGAGAGAGAGAGAGAGAGAGAGAGAGAGAGAGAGAGAGAGAGAGAGAGA